CACACACACACACACACACACGGAGGGGGAGAGAGAGAGCACAAATTCCCTGTGTCTTTAGACATTGGCTGTGTTCAAATTCTCCTTTTGGGTGGAGGGTAAGTTTAAGAGTTCATTTTGTAACCTTTTCAGACCTTATGAACATGATACAGAACATGTACCACCGCCAGGCGTGCGTAGTCTTTTTGGAAACACTAAATATCAAATAGTTTAAACACTGGGGAAGAAGATGGTGGTTTAGGGAAGTTGTTTGTTTGGGGTCATTTTTTGAGGTGGGGGTCTTGTTCCCTAACCCACTTTTATTCAAATAAACCCTGAGCATTCTGTATTGTCATTTTAGCATGATTTGGTCCTTACTAGATAGCAGCTTTTTCAGGGACCCTTAGTCAGCTGTGGACGGAGTGTGAGGAGAGACAGAAGATCTAGTGCAGTCTGAAAGGTCCTGCACACCAGTCAGGAAATCTGACTAGTGGAGGAAGACACCGCTGTTGATTTGCTTCTTCAGGGAGCGAGTGGGGGGGTGGGGGGCGGAGGTGTTCGGCTCAATTGCTGTTGCAGGAAAAAGTCCAGGAAATGAAAGAACGATTCTAAAGACCTAGAGAATGAGACGGGCTTAAGTCTGAAGTCAGGGCAGCAGGAATGAAAATGCATGGAGCCCAGGCTAAAATCCCTCTATGACTCACTGTATAGTCAAGGCTGACCTTGAACCTCCGATCTTCCTGTCTTTACCTCCCCAAGGCTGGCACTACACTCAGGAGCTGCCCATACCTTTTGTTCTCTGAAGATTCCCAGGTGAAGCCTGACATAACGGTGTACACCTGTAACCCCTGTAGTCTAGGGCTTAGGCAAGAGGGTCAGGAGGGAGTTCAAGGCCAGCCGAGCCACATAAGTCTCTGATTTCTTCAAAAGTTGGTGCTGGGAATTCAATAGTGACTGGCCTGTGTTTACTTCTCTCGTTTCTGGAATAGCCCATAGCCTTGCTCACTGTGCAACGGGGTGTGTGTAAGAAATCTCTAACTTCTTTTTATCTCTTCCGATTACAAAGTTCACTCAAGATTTCAAGGTCCCCATAGGCATAGCTAATTCCGGATACACACGCTTCCGACTTGAAAGCCATCTCGAGTCAATGCATCCCTCCTCCTCTGAGTGAGGCTCCAAGACCAGCAACACCAGCATCACCTAGGAACTCTGAGTTCAGCTCTGACTTCCTGCATCTAAATCTGTACTTTCACAGGGTCCCCAAAAGGTTCCTAGAGATGTAAGGCCTAAGAAAGACTATAGCAAATCCTTCACCGTGTTCCTATTCCTTCCTTTGCCCAAACACTGACTGGCTGGAGACTCTCATACACCAGGCACTGGCTTAAGTATGTGGACACAAAAGCAGAATCTTAAAAGTGCTGATGGAGACCTTGGGCATCTGAACAGGCTGAGGGCCTCCTGCAGCAGGGGCTAAAGGCAGCCGTGGCCAGTTGTGAAATAATGATGGGCCTCGTGCTTTTGAAAGCCTGCTGGCATGGGAGTGGGCAGATGAACAGTAGCTAAGAGAGAGGGTCTGCAAATGGGTGGGTGGGAGTGGGGACTTGAATGCGACTTTTAAAATAAAATGCATTTCACCGTGCGGAAAGCATGTGCTTTGGCCTCCATCGCTGAAATCAGAGCCTGGCAGATGCTTTCGCTGCTGGTGGGAAGGTGGTGCTTCACCGGGGAAGGGAAAAGCCACATCCTGGGAGTGGGTCTGGTGCAGATAACCCCTGTGACCTTGCCTTGGGAAGCTGGGCACTTGGATATATCTTTACCCACAGATATACCTTTACCTGCCATGGTGTGGTAGTCAGTCTTTCCGTCCCCAGCCAATTGATGCCTCTGAGGGCATAGGGCCCCTACAGAACCAATGGGAGGGGTCAAGCACACCCATCCCTGTTGTCAGAGAAACAAAAATAACCCTAAGAACAGAGCACCAGTCAGCAAAGACTGAGGGAAGACACTCAGCACAGTGTGTGCTGTGTGTGCCTGGCAGGAAAGTGTTGGTGCGTCTCCATTGGGCTGTGGGTCAGCCTGTACTGGGAACAGCTCTCCAGACACACAGGTTATTTAATCAGAAAGAGAATCCTGCTGTTCTTTAATCTGGTTGTCTTAGTTTGCTTTCTGTTGCTGTGGTAAAACACTGACCAAAACCAAACTGGGAACCAGGCACCAAGATCCGCCCGCCTCTGCCTGCCTGAGTGCTGGAATTACAGGCGTGCGCCCCTGCACCTGGCTAACTTTTAAAAAGTTAAACAATAAGTAGGCAAGTTTTCTTCCCAATCCATTCTCCTGTTATTAAGTTTGTCAATAGACTTTTGTGTGTTTTCGAGTACTCCATACTAAATTTAATAATGTAGGGTTTTAAATTCCAGCATTATCGCATTAGTAATAGGTTGGAAGGGTATTCGCACAAAAAAGGGTTGGTTGTCTGTATAGACATGGGGGGGGGGCTTCTGAAACCTGGGTGGGGGAGCTTCTAGAACCCCGTTCTTCTATGCTTTCCAAGATAACCTATGACTTTTAAAGTATGTGAGCATGTGTGTGTGTATGTGTGTGTGAGAGAGACAGACAGACAGACAGACAGAGACAGACAGACAAAGTAGGGTGGATGGTCTTCTTTGCAAATAATTAAAGGCTTTTTCATCTCCCAAAAACTGTAAATCTCTATGGAAAATGGAGAATGCTTCTTGTTTGAATTCTTGTGGCTGACGGCTACCGCTCTAAAAAGTGCTTATTTCTACACTGGGCAGAAACAAAGTGGACACAGAAGAGGCTGACCATGCTCTAGGGAGGAGGAAAGGAGTCCCAGCTTCAACGGAGGAGGTTCCTTCGTTCCAAGGTTTTTGTTTTGTTTTTGTTTTTGAAATGACTCAGGGGCTGGAGAGAGGGCTCACCTCACGGCTTACGAGAGCCCACTGCTCTTTGAGGACTTGAACTTTCAGCACCCAGGGCGACCGACCACACTCACCTGTAACTCTAGCTCCAGGGAATCTAATGCCCTCATGCTGACCTCCATAGGCACTGCATTCACCTGCACACAGAGGCACACTCGGAAGGCACGTGGTTATGTTATTACATTTATGGCAGAGTATTTGAAAACACAAAAAATGACAGAGTCATACTAATCCCCAGTGACTCCACCATTACTCTTTCCCAAACTATTATGAATAGCATTCATTCATTCATTCATTCATTCATTCATTATCTATGTAGAGATAGGATGCTCACAATCTTCAAGATAGCAGATGATGAAGCACACACTCGCCTTTGCACTCAGAGCACTTAATGCCAGAAAACATTTATGAATCTTCTATTTTATAGTTGTGCTATAATTTATTTAATCAATCTCCTATTTTTAGACACTTACATTGGTCTATAAACTGCTCAGGGAAATAAAGTTTTATGGTTTTATATTTTAGATGTATCATAACTCACAAGTCCTCTCCAACAACCGTGCCTAGCCTTGAGTATTTCACTGCATTCTGGGCTTTTGCTTGATCTTGCTATTACCGAGTGACACACCAGCCTGCAGCATCACCCAGCAAGCTTTACCAAAGACTTGGGTTTCTCTTTCAAAGATTTTTTTTTAAAATCTAAGCATTAGATGCCCACATAGAAGCTTTAGTAACCAAACACTAAATATTATTATTCTATAACCAAACACTAAATAACTAAATACTGGTTTATTTCCTTCTTCTCTATAATATTGTTAATTCTTTGAGAATTTCATACACTGTATTTTGATCATATTCACCCCACACACATTTCCCCAAAACTTCTGGATTTTCCTTCTATCACCTAACTTCCTAACTTCATGACCTCTATTTAAAAAAATAACCCACTGAGTCTAACTTATGCTACCCGTGTGTGTAAAGCCATCCACTGGAACACAGTGAGCCAACCAGGGACCCCACAATTAAAGAAAACTGTCTGTCCCTCCCCAGAAACCATGAAGGGTTAATGGATCTTCGCTTAGGGATGGGGTCTCAGGAACCCCTTCCACTCCAAGCTGGCATGTTTGCAGGTCTTGCCTTGGTAACTACAGCTACCATGAGTTCATGAGTGCAGAGGTCCTGTCACATACAGAAGACACTGTTTTGCTCCAGTCCTTCCTGATCCCATAATTGTACCTCATAGTTTTTTAAGGGCATATATATAAGTGGGACCCTTGCCACAAGCCTGAGTTCAATCTCCTGGACCCTCATGGTGAAAAAGAGAAAATCAGCTTCCTCAAGTTGTCCTCTGACCTCCGCCTGTATACACACACACACACACACACACACACACACACACACAAATAATAAATAAACAAAAAAAGCAATAAAAATGAAGCACAGAAGCAGTTTCGGTTTTCATTTGGAACTCATTTCAAATTATGAAAACCTGCAAAGGTAAATAGAGCAAAGGCCATCAAGGTACCCTCCCTCAGCTGTGAACACTGGCCAGTGGCTAGCATCCCCCTTTCTTTGCTTCCTGTTTGCTCTTTTCCATGTAGGAAAAGAAGGCAGGCTATATTCACCATGGTCCCTTACCTCAAAATACTTGAAGCGCATGGATACTCTCTTTCGTGGTCACTGCTCAGCTTTGTCAGGTGACTCGGCAATGTCCGCAGAGCATGACTCTCCAGTGCAGAATTCTGTCACAGTTCTCTTGCTTCTCTTACTGTGAAATGTTCCTCTTCCGTCTCCCTCTGCCTTTTACAAAGCTGGCATGTTTGAAGAATGCAACTCTCTTTTAAACTTTTGTTTAGTCATTTGTTTGTAGGTGTGTGTGTGTGCATGCATGCCAGCATTTCAAGGCACCTGTGTGGAGGTCAGTATACAGAAGATGGGTCTCCCCTTCCACCGTGCGGGTACCAGAAATGGAACTCTGGTCAGGTTACCTTTATTTTCAGCCCCCTTAGAGTTTGCCCGTTCTCCTATGTGTGCTTCTGTTGTTTCCTCGTGTTTCCATTGAGCTTCTGCTCTCTTACCCAGAAAGCGGCATGGGTGGCAGTGTGCCTTCTCTGAGGATCACATCTGGAGGCCCCCAACTGTCTGTTCCTCACTTACCTGGTGAGTGTGTTTTGTTTACCCAAAGTGTTGTCTAATTGCTGCACTGTGTAATCACTGGACATTCCCCCCCTCCCCCCGCCCCTTCCTTCCAACCAAGACACTTTAAGACAGTGCAAATGTTCTACTTCTCAAAATTCCCCATCTATTTAGCACCTGATGACTCTTTGCTTGGTCTGGCTTTCTGCCCTCAGCATTCTGCACAGGTAGTCCTCAGCGCTCCTCCCCTGTCTCTCACCCATATACTATTGGTGTATGCTCACGGGTTCCTTTTTTTTTTTTCAGTCAACAATTTGCAACATGTTACTTGCTTTTAAATATCTCTGGTGCTCAAGTTGTCCCAAACTTGGCAGATGGGAGCCCCTTCTAGGTCCTGCGACATAGTCTCGCTATTAAAAAAAAAAGAAAAGAAAAAAAGCAAAAAAAAAAAAAAAAAAAAAAAAAAAAAAAAAAACCTCTCCAACATAAAAAGATATTCCACGTTCATCTGGCACCCTCCCTGCCCCAAGCCTTGGATTTTCCCCATCTTGGCTGAGCCATGGCTTCTGCTGGTGGATCAGGCATCGGAGACTGAGGAAAGCTGGGTCCTGGTGTGCATGTGCTATCAGCATGGCTCTGTTTCTTTGCTCAGATAAAGCTGGGAAGTAGATCTATAGTCAGAAGACTGACACCCGATAATCAGTTGTTATTCTCTCTCCCCCCTCCCCCTGCACACTTGCTCAGTCTTCTAGCACATCTGGAAACAAACCTCCTTAACCATTTTTGGTAGGAATAGCTCCCCACTCTTCTTCGAAACACATGTGCCTGCATCACTGGGGAGCTTCTTCAGAAACTCCCACTGCACGGAGACAGATCCTCACCACCCGTATTTTAACAAGTGACTGTAACATGTGCTAAACTATGAGATACACAGCTCACTACTGTAATGTAGGCTTGTCCTGTTCATCTAGTGCCAGCCCGGTAGATGACAGACATGCCAAAACTTCTCTTCATCTCTCTGGTCCTAAAATATGTCTCCCTAAAAGAAAGCTGCTTTCCAGGCTCCCTGCTCTCTCTCCTCCTTAGGTGATTGGCAAGATGGGAGAGGCTCCATTAGTTAGTGCTGACAAACCTCTCAGCCAAGGGCTAGACTGTTGTTGGTCAGAGGTACAGGGTATTGTCAGCATGGTGACCCTTGGGTTCAGTTCCTAGCACCAAAAGCCAGCACAGCTCCCAGCCACTTTTATCAGAAGCGCCTGATCCAGGGTAGCATTCATAACCTCTGTTCCCATCTGCTCAGGCAGAATCTTCACATGACTCAAGTCTAAGAAACACTGGCCTTGAGCACCTCAGCCTTACCTACGAGACTGAATCACCTGGGGCCTCTATGTACATTTCACATCTAGAGCTAGGGTTCCAGGTACCAGCTTTTAATGCTTCTCAGTTGGTTCCAATGTCCAGGCACTACTTAGGACTCTTGAAGTTTGTTCTAGCCTTTCTCACTGCAGAGTGCAGGCTAACCCTGAAGCTAAGGAGAAAAGCATGATACCATCACCCATGGAGGTGAGAAACCAGTAGCCAGAGGAACCCAAATGGCACAGTATTCGGTGATGTGCCAGAAAAACATCTTATGATGTTTCCAGCACATTAATCCCAGAGACTGAATTTTCCCCAAGACTCCTTGCTGGGAACCATCTCGTGAATTTATTGTTATGGTTTCCACTACAAAGGAGATAGCTATATGCTGCTCATATCCATAAATCCAACTCTTGGGCTAAAGATATGGCCCAGTTGGTAGAGTACTAGGTTTGTTTTCCAGCATGCATGAACTGGGCACAGTAACCCCAATACTTGGGGGTGGAGGGGGTGAGGCAGAAGGATCAGAAAGTTGAGGTCCTTCTCAGATACACAGCAAGTCTGAGGTCAGACTGAACTACACAAGACCCTGACTTAGTGGGAAAAAACATCCAGTTATTTTCTTCTGTACCCTTGACCAGGGATGTATTGATCGGTTACACTCCAGACTTGGGAAGGAAGATAACAGTGTACTTTAGCCTTCTGAGGTGCAGCGCCTCCACTTGCAAATTACTTGTCTGTGAGATGTGTGGTTACTCTATTCACAACCCAGTTCAGGGTCCCTGACCAACTCAACTCCCCTGTACCTTCTCCTTCTCCAGCCCCACCCTCTGGGTATCATGGCTCCCTTCCCCAAGGACTTGCCTGACTTCCTTTTCCCCTCGTTCTTTTTAGATGTATTTACTTTATTGTTGTAAGAGTCTGGGTGTCCTGCCTGCATGTGCATAAATGCACCATGGGTGTGCCTGCTGCCTGCAGAGGCCAGAAGAAAGTGTCAAATCCACAGGGAGCAGGAGTCACAGACAGTTGTAAAGTTTTCACAAGAGCGCTGCAACTCAAACTCAGGGCCTCTGCAAGAACAACAAGCGCTCTTCATCACTGGACCAACTCTCCAGCCCTCTGCTGATTTTTAATGTCATCTTAGAAATATCTCCTCAGGAGTGTTTACCTGTTTCAAAAGTACTTTTGAAATTTGCAATCCAATTTTATCTTTAGTGTCACTACTTTCTACAGGCTCACATCTAGCTTATTTATAGAACATGAATGCTAGTTTTGCTGGGAGAAAAAAAAAATCTGTATTCTAGCCCCCCCCTCACTTTTTTTAATACCGTGCAAGAGACTGTCTCTATGCTAGTGGAGAGATTAATGGGGAACTAACTGAATTGGGAAGGTGTTCTGTTGTCACAGGAACCAACAAAATTCCCTGGGTCAGAGAAGGCACAGAGAAAGGGAAATGCTAGAACTTGGCCATAGCAGTGTAAGGAATTCTTTGTATGGATAGAAGGAAGAAATGGCATCCTGGATGGAGGGAAAAGCTTAGGTAAAGATGTAGAAGCATGAAGGTGTGTGGTGTGTTTAGGCACAACTTCTGAGCCGTGCGGCGGTGGGACTGGAGAGCAGTGGAGAAAGAGATGCAGTGGCTGAGGTCGTAGTATCAAGATCCTCGGGGAATGAGGTAGGGCAGACGCCGAGCTTTCTTCTGGGCTTCAGGAGGCCCCCTTGAAGTTTATTTTTAGCACATGTTATTGGCATATTGTAGAATTTTACAGTAATGGTTACACAGACATCTTCATAGAAATCCAAACAGAGCAAGCTTCACTCGTTCGAAATTAACTATAGGAAATTATTTTAACTTACAATTTTTGTGTAGCCGTGGGTACATGACTGTGCACATCACACTAGAAGCCGGAGGAAGACATCAGATGTCCTGCTCTGCCACTCTTTACTTTATTCCCTTGAGACAGTCTCTCACTGAAGCTGGCGCCAAACTGTCAACCAGAAGTTCTTCTGACTCCACAACATTGGCAGTCCAGGCATCTGCAGCCACGCCCATCTTTATACCTTATTGCTGAGGACCCAAACTCAGGTCCCCACGCCTGTAGAGCAATACCTCTTACCTTCTGGGTCTCCCTTCCCTGGAAACTGTTTTTGTTTTTTGTTTTTTTTAATTAGAAGTTCTAGTTGTTACGAACACTATAAAATATATAGCTATTAATTATAAAAAGCAGATCAATAAATTTTACAATTCACAATAGACCTACAGGAGCTAAAATGCAAACTAAGCATGTAGTTCATCAGGTCAGCCATATATCTTGACAAACATCGTCACTGTAGGACCATACCTATTATTGGGCTCCAAAGGACGAAAGGGCTTTTTAAATAGTTTTAAATTATGTGTAACCAGGTGAGTATGTGCACTTGAAGCCCTCAACTCCCCATCTCTTCTCTTCCACACAGAGGTTAAGGGGAATTCTCTTTCTAGTCCACCACACCTCCTCTTCATCTCTGCCTACAGGACTAAGGACTGATACTGAGGTTGAGCTACAAGGGGATATGAAAGAGAGGGGGACTGCCCAGTTGACCTGAGAGATGATCATAATCACACTTCTTGAAGAGCCCATTTCCTTTCTGGGCCAGGGATCGGCTTGAGACAGGACCTTTTAATGCAACCCAGGCTTGCCTCCCTCAACCATCCTCATAACCCAGCTTCCTAAGTGCTGGAATCCCAGGCATGTGCCACCAGGCCCAACACAAGCTGTCCATACGTTACACAGTGGCTGGCAGTCCTTGACAGGCTCTGTTCTGCCTACCATGCCCTGAGGTCATTGTGGCTGTTGGTATTGTCAAGCCAAAGAACTGCTTCTCATTTTATCCCTTGAAGAACCTGGCCCAGGCTGGTTAGAAGGATTTGATAGCTCCACAGCAGAGCCAAAGCTCCTGGCAGAGTGATGCTTTTCCTATGACGTGAGCTCCAAGGTCCCTTTCCATTTACAACACATACACACTGGAAAAGACCTTCTCTCCAGCCACAGCGCCACCTGTGTGGAGCCATCAGCCCCGAGATAAATATACTAGGAATACCAGCCGGTGCCCTTAAACAACCGTTCTACACCTGTAACACAGAAGTAGAAACTCAGCTTCAAAAAGCAGGCATACCCATATGCCTGTGTAACACTCGTATGTGTGCACCTATATTTTAAGACTTTCTCCAATTAGGTTTACGTGCGTGTCTTTGCGTAGGTGAACAGAGTGCAGTTGCCTGTAGAGGCCGGAAGGGGGTGACAGATGGCCTAGAGCTGAACTCACAGGTGTGAACCATCTACCCTGGGCTCTGGGAATCACAGTCAGGCCTTCTGCAAGCACAGTGCGTGTGTTAGCTGCTGAATCATCTCTGCAGCCTCCATTTTCAATGACTCAGAGATCTAGGAAACACACTGTTGAGCTGTTTCTGGAGTCTGCGGTGCTTGTCATTGCTTTAAGCTCTTGCTGAGTCGAGCAACTGTGAGGAACAAGCCTTTGTTTCACCGACTTCATCTAGATGAGACTGAATCTGGACTAGCTGATCGCAGTGCCAGCCCTGATTTATATTGTTTTTGCTATTGTTATTTGTTTATTGGAGGAAGACAGGATCTTCCTTTGTAGCCCGATATGGGCTAGAATAGATTACGACTGTGTGCCACACAACTCATGGGCTTACTTGAATAAAAGTAAGATCAATCCCCAGAACCACATAAACGGAACATGGTGGCACTTACACCTATAATCCCTACACTCGAGAGGCAGAAGTCCTCAGATCCTCATTCTCAGTTACACATCGAGTTCCAAGCCAGCCCGAGAAATTAAATCCTGTCCCAAACAACAAAAAAAGCAGTAATAATAAAGAATAAAAATCCATAGAGGCCATAGATGGTACCGTGGAAGTCAATGGAGAAGCTACAGACTGAGACAGAGAGATGGATTGCCTTGGGTGTTATTTAATTAAGGTCACAGTAGACTTTGGAAACCAGAGGAGGTTCTGCAGCCCTGAGTGGTAGTTCCAGGGTCCCCAGAGGCCTCGCCATGCTGTCTGCTCAGTTAAAGAAGTCTCCAGGATCTGCCACCTTCATGACAGGAGTTAGAGTCAGTAAGGCCGAACGGCAGTGTCTGACTCGTATATTGACTTGAAAGAAGAAAAAGTTAGAAAAATAAAAATGTGAAAAAATATTTAGAGTGATAGGGCCTGAAGTCAGAGCCTTGTATTTGCCACGGAGCTGCACCTCCAGCCTCTGCTTAGCAGGGTTCCGTGAATTTTCCTAAGAGCTCATGGTTTTAATCGCCTCTACCCATATGATCTTATTTAAAACTTATTACCACCATGGCAAACAAGAAGCGCACTGTAACTGAGGATATTAAGCTCAAAAATGTTAGTGAATTTGCACAGAATTATCTATTTTTAGTGGCTCCAGGACTATCCACTGTGTCTTCTGAGTCCAGGTTTATCTAACAGGTGTTCCAAGTCCACTGGGCTTTGTAAATGTCCCCCAGGCCATGACAGCTACACCCACTCATTCCCAGACAGATTCCTGGTAAACTTTTGCATAGGTCCCGTGAACTCTTCAGACTAATTTTATTTTTAATGTATGTGTATGCATGTGTGTCTTCTGTGGGTATACACACTTGAGTGCAGTGCCTACCGAGGCCAATAGAGGGTGTCAGATCACCGGGAGACAGACTTAGAGGCAACTGTGAGCCACCTGATATGAATGATGGATGCAAAATCCCAGCCCCTTCCAGAATAGCAAGAGCTCTTAACTGCTGCGCCATCTCTCCAGCCCATCAGTCAACACTTTTGATGGTGGAAAAGGCGTTGGGTCATTAAGGAAGGAAAATGGACAAGGTGATGTTCAGACACTTGGCTCAGAGCTGATTTTAGGGTGTCACTACACACCATATTTATAAAGTGTGTTCCAGGACAAAGCTTCTTAGAATCTAGGTAGTAGAGCACTACTTGTTTGTTGGCTTGTTTTTAATGTACATGTATCTTGGACATGGAGTTCTGGAATATGGAAGAAAAATATACTGGTAGTAATACACTCACGCTTGAATATCCCAGCAATGTCAAGCGTCTATAAACAAATAGTTCTTCCCGCTCACTCTCAGTGATCCTGCGGTACATCAGTGACATCTCACAGACCAGCTTGAGTGTAGCCAGCCACACATGAAGAAATACTCCTCCAAGGGAAACAAGGCCCAAAATTTTTTGCATTTCCCTGCAGAAAGTGTTTCTTGATATCATGAGCTGGGACCCATTTCCACATTCCAGGCTGGGGGTGGGATGGGCGTGTCTGAGCTAAATAACTGCATTTGATTGATTTAGCATCTCCAAACTGACTTGCCCTCACAACCCTGTTCACAGAGTATCTTTTAACACCCAGAAGACTCAGTTTTCCAAACACATTTGGCTCTGCTCTGTATATTGTAGGCAGAGCAAGACCCCAGACATGCTTCTGCCCTTTTCCAGTCCTTCCGCCTCAACTCCCTGAGTGCTGTAATAAAGATGTGTCCCTCCTGCAGCTGGCTCTTTTCTCTTTCTTCCTTTCTCCCCAGTGCACACAATCCTTCATGCCTAGTTCTGCCTCCTGCACAGCACTCACCATGAGCGGCCACACCCTTGCAGATTAAAGCTACCCATCTGGCTGAGGCAGTCCCATCTTCTTAGGAAGTTTGCCACAGATTCCTGAAAGCATCTGTGGTTTGCCTTCTTCCTGGAGGGTACTCATACTGGGGCTCCACGTATCTTCAGTATCCCCCAAATCCATTTCCACCTCCCTCCCATCCCCCAGATATGTCTTGTGTGTGAGTACTTCCCATCACTGCAGTGGCCCTGGCCTCCTGTTACTTGCCAATGTGCCTCTCCCCAAGCTCCCACATACATGTATAAAGACTCAGACCTTCAGCTGGAGCTGTCCTATCCTAGCCTGGGTCATAGCCATCCTTTGACATATCCCACAGACATCCCAAAGCATTTCTCTCATTCACATGGTCTCTCAAGGACTCGGCTGTAATCCTCTATCAAGCTTCCAGAAGCATGGCTTTGTTTTTGTAGCTTGCTCCTCTTCTGGCCAGCTCATGGCTCTAAATGAGCTTGCCTGTTCTCTCTTCTGTTGATAACATGGCTTTCCTAGACAGCAACCCGCACTTTTGCAGAGTTCTATCCGTTGTAACCACACACACAAGAGCCATCTCCAATAGCCCGTAGGCTCTGAGTTCCCCTTATAGACTGCACTTTTTCAGGACACCCTAGGGAAAAGAAAAAAGGGGGAGGCTAGCCAAGCCCCTGTTCCAAAAGAGTTTCACCTCCAAGTTTTACGACCCTACAATATCTGCAACAGTTGAAACCTTGACCAGCAAAATATACTCATCTATAGTTCCCTGATATGAGTGTTGTATGATTTATAAATAGAGATACTCCACCACAAAGGATCTGGGGTTGAGTGGATTTGAGAAACAGGTGTAAAACATGAATCTTGAAGAAGAGGCTATCTGGTAAGGTTTGTCTAAGTGCCCTTGGCACAGACCACTGTGGGAGAGAGTCTTGCTACACTATGTCACCTGGAAAACGCTGGCTGTGTGTAGATTCAGTCCACAGAATCCTGCCAAGTTCCCACGACTTGCTTAAAGTCCTTCAAATGTGTTTCCTGGTTATCTGGAAAATGAACATCTCTTTGCAGAGATTTCCCTTAGCCCTGCCTTTTGAATGATAGATAACTTGAGGCTTCGCCCAATACTGTTATTTACTTTTCCATAAGTATGCCTTGTATAATTTATCATCGAGAGCCCTAATGACTTCCAAGGCTGTATTTCTAGCTCAGACCTCTCCCCTGAGCTCCAGGCTCCATACATCCTGCTGTCTTCTGGACAACTATCTATCGGAGATCTTTAGCAGAATGCCCAGCCAGCACTTCCAATGCACTTTGTCCCATAGATGAGTAGTTCCACCCTCATAAAATTCCTTTTTGCATGTGCCACCATCTAACCAGAAACCTGGAAGTATTCCAAACTCTCTCTCTCTGCCCAGGCCCCCAGGCCAGGTTAGTCAGTACATCCTCTGGATCCTACCCCCTGAGAAGCATACCCCACTCTTCAGTTGCCACTGTATAACTCTGGGTCTTCCCTATAGACTGCCAAATGGCTCCTGTCTTTGCTCAGGGTTTCTGGGAGACAGAAACAGTGCCAGAGAGTTGCATTCTGGGAGGAAATAGTGAGTGCTTTGGGGAATAGCTAAATACCATGAGGGAAGTGTGAGGTTAGCAAGTGTGATGGAGTCACACACACAGGCCACACACATACACATAAGAAATATAATTTTAAGAATTAAAAAAAGAACTAAAGTTCAAATTAGGAGCTAGAGAAATGGCTCCGAGGTTGAGAATATTTGCTGGTCTTCCAGAGGACCCAAGTTCAATTTCCAGAAGCCATGTCAAGTATCACTCCAGCTCCAAGGGATCTGATGCCCTCTTTTTGCTTCCATTGGCACCTGCATTCATGTGTACACACCCATACACAGACATATGGGGTTTTTTTTTCTTTAAGAATTAAATTTCCAGGGCTGGAGAGATGTCTCAGAGGTTAAGAGCACTGGCTATTCTTCCAGGGGTCCTGAGTTCAGTTTTCCAGCAACCCCATGGTGGCTCACAACCATCTATAGTGAGATCTGGTGTCCTCTGCTGTTGTGCAGGCGAAACACGGTATATGTAATCATTAAATAAAATAAAATCTTTTTAAAAAGAGAATTATACATGCTCCCAGCCATCTTGGTGCTTTAGGCAGGAGTCAGCAGGCAGAAGGAAGACTATGAGGAATGGCTGACCAACCCCCCCCCAAAGGGAATTTGTTCTAAACATCTTCCATATTTCTTTGCAGCCTGCAAAAGGAAAGAGCAAGAACATGGGAAGGATAGAGGCAACACCCCCAAAAAGCCCAGGCTGGTCTTCACAGATGTCCAACGTCGAACTCTACACGCAATATTCAAGGAAAATAAGCGTCCCTCCAAAGAATTACAAATCACCATTTCCCAGCAGCTGGGGTTAGAGCTGAGTACTGTCAGCAACTTCTTCATGAACGCCAGGAGGAGGAGTCTGGACAAGTGGCAGGACGAGGGGAGCTCCAGTTCAGGCAATTCGTCATCTTCATCAAGCACCTGTACCAAAGCATGAAGGAAGAACCATGGACTGGAACCTCGGTGGAAAAGCTTTAAATTTAATTTAAGAAATTTTTTTCTAAAGACCAGGACCTCAAGATAGCAGGTTTATACTTAGAAATATTTGAAGAAAAAAAAAAGTGGTATTTATAGTCCAAAGAAACCAAAGACTGAAGCTCACCTGCATTCTGACTTTGTTCAGAGACACATACATCAGCGGGGCAAGACTTGGCAAGAAAAATGATGAGGAAAACAGCGGATCTCATGCCTTCAACAGCGGATCTCACGCCTTCAACCCCCATGCCTCACTGTGCTCCGTGGCTCGAAGCACAGGAACGTTTGAGCCATCGAGTGGACATCTTTTAACATCAGACATGCTCATCTGTTCCGCCACACCACAGAGGTGCACAGTGTCTCCATGTCTGTCACGTGTGGGGGTGTGTGCATGTACACACACACACACACACACACACACACACACACACACATACATACCCCACCACCAGTGGTTAGGGACTCAGGCAGGGATGGTCTTCAGGAAGGGTTGCACGGTAGGAATGTGACCGACGCGGTGTGGGATTTCTAAGTTCGTTGGATCTGAGGGGTGATTTCTCTCATCTAGCCTAGCGTTTGAACCTGCCAGGCCCACAACCTAAATGCAGATTCAAACCCAGCAAAGAAAATTTGAATGGCGCCTAACCCAGTGCACTCTCTTTGTTTGTTAAGAAATGTTCAGATATTTTTAAAGAAAAAAAAATGAAACAAGAGTCCATCCATTAAAAAAAAAAAAAAAATCACCTAGGTACCAAAGAACACACAATATTATAGTGCAGGTATTTTATTGCAATGATTTTAATAACCAAAGCTATTTTTACACAAGATACTATGTAAAGTTATACGTATGAACTGATCTAGCCGTAATCCACATGCCACGTAGGTTCAGGACTATTCTTTATGACTCTTGAAGCATTTGAAATATGAGTTTTCAGAACTGGCAAGGAAGAATGTAGCTTCAGGGAAGCAGCTACCACCATGGCAAAGAGGTCGGTGCGATGCACTTGGGATCATAAATGTCACTTACATGGAGAAGAGACATAATGCAGAATCTACTCATACCCAAGAAGATACGAGGACCCTTTCAGAGCTAGTCCCCACATAAACACAGAAAACTAAGCTTAATGGAACAGATAACTAAATTTAAAAAAAATTGTCCAGAGTGATCATTTTTAGTAACCGATACCCCCCCATAAAAAAAAGACTCAGACTAATTTTGCTCAAATTTACTTTATGCACTTGGCACCAAATATCTTTTAAAAATTTCTTTCCCAACACTAAAGAGGAAAGCAGGCTAATATTAACCACAATTAGTTATCCCATATTTTGTAAGCATCCTAAAAAACAATCGGAGCTGACTTATTGCTGATTTCAGACATTTTACAGTGTAGACATTGGGAAAATAGCAGGTAGAACAATAGAATTGCATAGAAAAACCCAGAGTTCCAGTCTCACACAAGACTTTTGGTTCTTTCAGAATCTAACAACTCATTTTACTATCATAGCCTCTAAAGCATGTTATGTTTCTTCTTGCCATAAACAAACCTGGAAATTTTATCACATGGCTTCTACTCTCTCACAGGGACAGACTAAAAATGAGACCCGAGCTTCCTAATGAAAGCTTTAAATTTTGACTTTCCCCAAACCATTTAACTGGGACTGCGCAGACCAACGCAGGAAAAGAAAACAAAGTTCTAGAAACCATTTGACTCCCAGAAACACTCTGTCTGAACTCAGTTGAACTACAACTGATGTGAACAGTCAAGAGTGGGGTACCCTCAGTTGCTATCACACCTTGCTAGAAACATAACACCGAAAGCTGTCTTGATCCACTGAAATGCCAAATGAACAAAATTTAAAATTTGTAACACAAAATTTGGGGGTTGGGTCTCAGGACCCCGAGAGGAGCCTAAGCTGACTAAATGAACCATCTGTCTCCTTCCTGTTTACTGTCGATGGAGCGAAGGAGACCAGCCTAGGCCTTGACGTGTTTTGTCTTAGCATTTTCCAAAGTTCACCCATAATTCCAACTTTAAAACATTTTCCTTCTAAATATGGCACAATTCTGGTTCAATCAGGAAGAACCAGTAGATCAGCGCCCTTTGAAATTTGCTCTAGTTTTCAGTATTGTAAACAAAAAGAAAAAACAGAAACCTATTTTCTCTCTTCATAGTGGAGGGAGCTGGGGGGCACAGGTGCATTTATGCTAGAAGGGGGATAGCCTTATTTGCTAAAAGTTCAGGGGAAACCCAGCCGTGTCTACAACAATCTTACCAACTTTCAATACTCTAGAAAAGAAAAAAAAAAATGGATTCAGTCAATTGTCTTGACTTTGCTTTTACCACGTTCCTTTCATGATTAACCCAACTGCATTTTGCATTCTTTCAAGCCAATCATTTTGGTACCCTAAAGACACAGTCTTCAAAAAATATGACTACACCTTAAAAATCCCACCATGACAGTTTTCCGAGAAATAACCAGTTACCCTACTTGCTGACACCAAAGATAATTTCATACCAGCGTTAAATTTGCACCCATTACACAATTTCAGGGCCTAGAGATATATTTTCTCATAAACAGAGGCACAAGTCAGAGCCTGAAAAGCAATTTTCTTACTTGACTGAGCATACTCCAAACTTTTGCTTCTTAGAAATCAGAGCAGGCAGACTCAGCTTTTCATAAGCAATACCTTCTCACACCCTGTAGGAACACTCTATTCTTTTCTTTTCTTTTTCTTTTTCTTTTTTTGCCTTTGGAACCAGCATTCAGAGAACATGCTTCCATTTCTGTTCATGTAGCACTAACCAATGGCTCCCCTCACGCTCTGCAGAGCAGATTGCATCTCGTTGGTCATTTCTCAGTCATTTTGCACCATTCACTCCAAGAGTTTATTTCTTATCACTATGCACATTACAAACAAAACCAGAATTAAATACTTTCTTTCCTTTCCTTTTCTTTCCTTTCCCTTTCTTTTCTTTCTTTCTTTCCTTCTTTCTTTCTTTCTTTCTTTCTTCTTTCTTTCTTTTTTTTTCTCTCTTTTTTTTTTTTCCTAGAATGGTTTTGGCCATAAGTCATTCAGGTCTTCAAGTAACTGGAAGCTTTTGCTGAAAGCCATCCAGGTTGTTTGGAGTCTGGAGACTGTAAAACTCAGATTTCAGTAACTATCCAGATAGAAGAATTCTGGACTAAGGACTCCCATCCCGGGGCACCTTGGGTATTGATTCCAAAGACCAAAGAAAACGCATGGAGAGACCCACAAGTTCTGATGGAACTTGACACTCACCATGCCCCTCAGTCCCTCAGAAAAACATAATTATTTTTCCAGAACAATATAAAAGTGCTTGCTATATTTGGCCCCATCCCACCCCCATTACTACCCCAGGTGAACGACCTGTCTTTGCAGGTTAAATGCAACTTTGCTATACCAAAGAGTCTAAGGACATTTTCCCCTATGCTCTGTCGTCCCTCCTTTGTACATACAGGATGAAACTATGCATTCAGCAAACAAAGAGAAAGCACTTCTCCCTTTTCTATCTAGTTGTTTAGGGTGCATTCAAATACCAGAGGCTGTTTGGGGGGTGCACTTGGCCTTCTGGGTTATAACTGTGGTGTGGGTTTGCTTTACAGTGCATTTGGTAACTACTTCCCAAATAGTGTGGACAAAGAAGCAGAAGGTAAGAAATAGCTACTTCCATGTGTTTAAAAACAAAAACAAAAACAAAAAAAAACAAAAAAAAGGAAAAAAAAAAGAAAAAAGAAAAAAAAAGATCTACTATTTATAGTGTGAACCAAAGACGCTACCTCACTCAATTTCCATCGGTGATTTTAATCACATTGATATACCAAAGAATACCAAAGATATTTTCATGCACGGCCGTGGTCTGCAGAAGGAACTCCACCCTCTCCCCTCCCCACCTTCTCCCTCTTCACTCAGTGTGTAAAGTTGTCTTCATTCTTAATAACAATACGATACCGATAACAACAACATTAGGAACGCCTACTCTTACTACTGCTACTTCTTGTAAATCTCTAGGCAAACACGTTGCAAAGTTTGTAAACTCCTAGGACGAGTGCCTTGCTTGAACCAAAGTGTTAAACCGCTGTTAACCTCTCTCTCCTTATACTCTTTGAATACCTCAGCCTCTTAGAAAGGCCACTAATGAAAAAAAAAAAAAAAAAAAGGAATAATTATTCACCGTGGTGCTTTTTCTGCGCAACCATGCAATGAAACTTTCTTTGATACCAAAGGATGACTTCCCCCACCCCCAATTTTTGCTGGTAAACCAAAGCTCCTCCTCTTATTCCCTCCAGAGTCCCTCTCCACCCTTCATGGAGTCCCTTCCCCAGGCAGGCCGTGTGTCACTTTTACCAATTCCTCCAAATACCTCATAGTAATAAAGTTTTAGGGTTATGTTGTATAGAGAGTCTATGTGATAAGGCAGAACTTACTAGTTTGTTAATTGTTAAGGTTACTTTAAAGAAAAAAAAACTTTATAATTCTTATTTATTTTGTAGCTGTGTGTTTGGGTGTTCTCTTCCCTCCCTCCTTTGGTTTGGGGTTTGTTTTATTGGCTGAAATGCTCAGTTGCTCAAGGAAGAGTTAATTTCGGGGAATGTTCCTCACATGGGTTAAAAGTTAAGAGCTGTGTAAAACTGCAAGGATGAAATAAGAACTGATTTTCATTTTGATGGTTACTTACGAAAGTTTTGTGTTTCGTAGAAAATTTGTTTCTACAGGGTAAAAAAAAATGATATATATATATATATATATATAATCTTTTTGTGAAACTGGTTCCTATTTTTCTCTATAATGTGCTGTGATTTGCTTTAATTTAATTACGTTTTATATGAACTTATTTAATCACTTTGTTAATTTATGACTGTGTAGTTTTTACAGTGTATATAGTACAATTGAAATGGCCAAAACTTTATGTTACAATCTCTTTCGTTCTCGATGCTAAGCCGAAGGTGAGAGCCCTTCTTGCCTTCAGGGTGTAGTCTTTAGTTTGTTCTTAGTGGGCACATCTGCACGTGCTGTGAACACTGCCAGCTCCCCCTCAAAAACTTGTACATGCCAATTGAGTTTCCCAAGGTAGAGAGACAGAAGGCATTACCTGTGGTGTTCCATTATTATTATTATTATTATTACTACTACTATTATTATTATTTTGGTTTTTTTAGAAAAAAAAAAAAAACATTACTTTGCTGGTAAGCCCTGAAATTTCAAAGGGTTTGAGACCTTTCCCAATATCTCACAGCACCTGTGTTTGCGGGATTCTTTGTTCCACCACTGATTTTGTTTGCTTGTTTTAACTTTCCAAACATGTGTGTAAGAAGTCAAAGTATAAAAACCCAAAGAGGCAAGCTAACTTGAATCTGGAAACCCTCCCACCTGCCCTTGTTTCTGCACTTCTAGTAGAAGGCAGCCTTTCCAAGCTGTCTTTGAGAGAAGGAAAGGGCTTGGGGGCCCACCAACTCCCAGAGGCCTAGGCAAGAAGCAAAACAAATTCAGTTAGCTCAATGATAAGCTCCCCATGGCTGCCCCATTCTGGCCTTCTCCCCTGGACCTTACCCAAATGGGAAGGAGAGCACATACCCAGAGCTATTTGAAATTGTGTCCTCTCACTCTCCATCTCACAGACAAGAGTCTTGGCCAGGCCCCTTAGCCACGGCAGGCCTGGTCCTTGATCAGCACACACAGAACCCTCAAGGACCAGGGCCACCGTCACAGAAGCCACGACTCCACTTCACTGACCTGAGCTGTGTAGACTCAATGGCGATGATGTAGGCGCCATCTCTCTCAACACAGGCTGTTGATCTTTTCTTCTGCAGGCGTGTTTGGGGTGGAGAAGGAGAGAGGAGGGTGTAGATTTTGAGTCAAGAGGTACATTTTTATACCGATTGTGTATGTGAATAGGGTGATATGTCTGCTCTGAGCCCTGGGGGTTCTTTGCTCTGTGGGTGAGAGTCAGGGAGCTGGGGAAAGACTCTGAGAGAGACGAGTTAGGACTGGCAGTGAAGCTCAAAGCAGAATTATCTTTACAAGGTCACATTTTAACTTCTGTGTTAGTGTTGGGGTTTTTTTATAGTATGTTCTGCATTTATTACATAATCATTGTGGGCTTATTTTAGATTTGCCATCTGAACCAACTGACAATTAAAAAAACAATAATAATAAATGTTAAAACACTGCCTTCCATTTGTTTTGCTAGTTGTCGTCATCTCCCTGTCCCTCCCTGTTTGCTGTCCAGCCCATCTGTCATTCACTGATACCTGTCCCTTCCCCCTTTTCTATTTTCAGCACACTTTTGACCTCAGCTATTCTAAGAGTGTGACTCAGTTTCCCTGTTCAAGTTAGCTTGATGGTTTATTATAAAAGGAGGGCGCCTAAGACAATCATCAGGTAAAATTTAAATAAAAGATCAGTAGAATAGAAAATCTTCCAAGGGCAGGGGGAGTTCTTCCTTAGCAATGAATAAAAAAAAAAAAAATCAACAGGAAAGGTAAATACATGATTAATTAGCTACACACCTAACCATGAGGGGCTTAGAAGATTTTTGATAAGAGACAAAAGTTACTGTCCTTTTCTTTGTCAGTTAGAAAATGGTAGTAGTTTCTACACCGCATCAACACGTCAGATGGAATGATTGTTGTACCGAGTTACGGTCATTTGCTGATATGATACCTCGTCTGTCTTTCTCTCTGTTGATGCTTCTGTATTTTTCCTGCATAGCGACAAAATGTGTTAGGCATTCTTCTGGTTTGTACTGCGTTAAGGCTTCTTTCTTTCTTTCCCCTTCTTCTTCTTCTTCTTGTTTTCTTTTAATTTTTATTTTTTGAGCTTCAATACTGTTCTCACTTTTAAGCCGTGCAATATCATCTGCTGTGTTTGCTAAAGAAAACGAAGAAGAAAAAAAAAAAAAAAAAAAAA